CTTGGGGGGCTCTGCTCATTCCAGCCCCATTTTTGAATGTATGAAATCTATACCCAGATGTAATGATATATGGTTATTGGGAGTCTCGGTCTTTAATAATCTACCACTTGGTGGTCTGAGGCAATTACTGCAGTTTCTAAAGACCAACTTTCTGTCAGTGCATTGTTTATAAACAAAAAAAAGTCCAATGACAGAAATCTAGACATCTCAGAGTTATTTAGAATATAGTTTTCAGTAACTCCCCAGGTAATGTATGCATTTAATATAAATTCTATTCTGTTTCTAATTTCTAAGGATTTTCATGAAACTGAACAATGTACTCTAAATTTTGAAAAGGTGTAGCTTCTAAGGCATATTTTACAGTCTGAGAATTTTCTAAAAATACATGCTAACGGTTCATTACTTTTGTAATCAAAATACTGATCCGCTGTTAATGCTGTTTAAATTGTAATTTAATTTTATCTCACGTCTAGTAGGAATGATAAGTCAAATTGAATTATGTATGTGTTTAAAACATAAGAGATTATATTTTTGAGGAGGGCGTGAGGAGTGTGAAGGTAAATTCAGAATTATCCTCAAATCTCTTCAGTGTGTATGTCCATCTTAGGATTTCGATATTTAACAGACTTGCAAAGCATTTCCTGAGTATGTTTTGTATGTTAGTGAAATTAGTGTGTCATTTCCTTTGTTAAAACATCTTCGTTTTCCCTCCACACAGTGAATATGGCCACAAGCAGGCTAATAGGGGCCGTGGCCGGCACCATTCTGGCCCTGGGGGTGATATTTGGAGGCACAGGGTGGGGAATAGAGTAAGCATCTTTGTGCGTCTCCGAGTGTTTCTGTATGGTGCCTGGTGTGTGAGGTGACACTTGTCCCCGACCCTTCTGTGTTTTGTCCCATTGACTGTGTTTCCTGTGGTCGTGCAACTTGTGGTGTGATTTGGACGTGTTTGTGTCTTGTGGTTTTCTCGTGTCATGTAGAACCTTCTCCTGTCTGGAACAATGTGGGGCATGAAATAATATTGGGGGTGCTTATGAGAACGTCACAATGAAGGCAGCAGTTCTGAAACTTCCACTGCTCCTCTACTTTGTAAAAGTAACTTTCAAATATAGACTTCTTTTTAAACCATTTATTGGCAGAAAATGCTTTCATGGGAGTGTTTTAATAGGATTTTTATAAGAAATTTAATCTTCACCAGTTAAATAAATCCATATACACAACCAAGAATTCCTAACAGTCATAGCAACTTTTATAGGTAATAAGGATGATAGCCACTAATGTTTTCTCCTTTTATTTAGGATGACACAGGAGGCTTCAACTTAATTTTTTTAATGAGATAGTTGAGATACTGCCTTTATTTTTTTTTATAAAATAGGTTTATAACTCAGATTCAAGGTTTACATAAATATTTGGAAGCAAGGAGCATTAAGAATGAAAATATATTTCATCCTTTCCAACCCTGTGTCAGACAAAAAATAAACAAAAACTTTATTTTTTCATGTAGACTTAAATAGATAATAAAATCATCAGACGAGTTCATATTTATGTTTTTCTCTTTTAAAACTATAGGACAGTTTCAAGTAATCCACCAACCTCTTTCCTAATCAAAATAAGAGAAGGGAGAATGCGGGTGGCAGAAACATTGGATTGGAATTAATACAAACTTGCCTAAGCTTAAGCAAAAACCTGCGAATCCCCTGGTGGGTTTGTAGCCGGTGTATAAGTAAATATATTGTGTGTCAGTTGCCCTTAAGCTTTCACAGAAATAAAGATCTCCTGGTGACTTTAAGTTTTTCTCCGTACTTGGACCACATCCTCAGAATAGCTGTCCGTTCTCTGCTGGATGCTGCTTCATGAGATTGCTAACCTGTATACTAAAAGATTATCAGGAGTTTTATTCTGTGTCTAATCATAAAGAGAGCATTTGTAAAAGACAACCAGCCCTTCACACGTTGTCTTTTCTCTTTACTGTGGTGGTGGGAGTGGTGTTAACACTTCAAGAGTCTCAGGGATGAATTACTAGTGCCTTAAGGAATCACCAGATGTTTTTACAACATGTCCAAATCACGGCATGTTGTCGATATCAGACATATCCCTCTTTAGTCCTGTTAGTTGGAACACACGGATGTTCTTTCATCCTGGAATTGGGAGGCCTGGGTACCAAAACAGCACTCAGAGGGGATCAGGTCCATAGATCATATACTGTGTTGAGCATGGTGGGAACCCTTTGTCCCCTGGCGTCAAGGACTTCCCCTAGACTTGAATCTTCCAACTCTCATCTCATCAGTGTGGTCTGTGGAGTTAGCACAGGAGACGCTAAAGTATAGAAATGTCATCTTCCTCTGGTTATTTCTGTAATAGAAGGAGAGGAAAGAGATTAAGAATATAACAGAGGTAAATATTTAGACACGAGAACTTTGTCCTGTGAAATTTCACCTTGGGTCTGTTAACTGGATATACGGGGGAACAGTCCTTTCCCGGGGACAATTCTATAAATACATTTATGTGAAATTCCTCCTTGAAGAACAATTTTCTAATAATATACCCCAAGTACATTTTTTACATTCTTTATTGGCCATAATAGTAGGATGAATTTTAATAACCCTTCCTTTGAGTCTTAGGGATAGGCAAAGTCAAAAGGCCTTTGTTGTAACACATAGTCCATGTCACAGCATTCATTGTCAGTCACCATTTCCAGTGTTCTTGGTTTGTGGCTATTTCTGGTTTTGACAGGTAAGTCTGTATAAGTGTATAGATATACTTTTTTTCTAAAAATAGATTTATCATTTTGGTTTTATGAGCTATTTTTATCTATTAGCTTACTGATTGTTTCTTTCAAAATCTAAATTTTGCCACAATTGCTCAACTAGTAAATATAGTATTTTAAAAAAGAAAATTCATATAGTACAACATCAGTTGTTTTTAACACTGATAGTATAGTGTTCATTTAGTCACTAAGGATTTCATGGTAAGAGCTTTTGTTTTAATTTTTAAAATTTCTGTGCCTTAGTTTATAATTATCAGTCAGAAATCATTTCTTGTGGATTACGTATAGATTCTAATTCCAGCCTGTGTTTTCTGACTCAAAGTACAAGTTTTATCTAGAACATGAAGTATATATGTGGTAATATAAATATTTTTTTGTAAATGTATTTGTTTCAGATTTTGATTCTGTATTGAAATGCAGTGAAGAACTACATGTGAGTGGGATAAAGTTTCATTAGAGCAGGGATCAGCAAACCTTCTGGAAAGGGCCAGATGGTAAAGAGTTTTGGCTTTCAGACTGCAGAGTATCTGTCACAATCTCTCTACAATGCCCCTTAGAAGGAAAAGACATTGTTTATGGCAAAACAGTTTACCCCCTTAGGCCACAGCTGCTTAGCCATAAATAACATGTAGAAGAAAGAGCATGGTTGTGTTCCAATAATTTTTTTTTGCAAAAACAGAGTAGGGCCAGAGATCTGACCCTTGATTTATAGGATACATTTTAGGGTCTAACAAATCTGCGTTCAAATCTTGCCTCTGTCACTTACTGCTTTCTGGAAGTCTCTGTTTCCTTATCTGTTAAACAGGGACAGTCATCCTTCCTATCTCATAGTTTTTTTGAGCATTGAATGAAGTGTTAGATATCAAGTGCTCAGAACTATGCCTGGTACATAGTAAGTTCTCAATACACAGTAGATAAATTGCTTTTGTTGCTCTTATTATTATTTTTTTATTACTGGTGTATCTCTAAAGGAAACTGAGATTTGTTTTCTGTAGAATCTGCAGAGTTAATTCTAAAAGCGTGTCACAAACCCAGAGCTGGCAGAGACCTGCATCTTTGGGACTCCATCGCAATGGTCCTGCACCTGCCCACCAAGCACTGGGTGGTCTCCCAGGAAAAAATGCCATGTCATGCATGCAATTTTAGTGCTGCCCAAAGTGGCATCCATTTATGTACACAGTTGAGGGCACTGATGTGAGCAGAAAAGAGAATTTTTAACACAGAAATGAATGTAAATACAAAACTCAGAGAAACTAGCAAAATTGGCCTTGTGATTTCTGGAACAGGGATGTATAGTTAGGACTGAAAGTATTTTGTTGCTAGGGGGCACTGTACCTGCATCTTAGCATCCTGAAGGATGTGATATTTAGAATAATTATTATACTAAATCTCACATTGCTTAGGTTTAAAGGTGAACTAAGGAGAGGAATTACTGTAATACTGATCAGCTCTTACTCCACAACTAACAGAAACTCCAACTTATATTTTCTGTCTTTTGACTCCCTTCATTTTTTAAATATCTTCGAGCTTCAAATTTCTTTTAGTAATAAATAGGAACTTAAAAGTTATTCCCCATTGAATCTAAGGAGTCTTTTCTCCATTTACCCCAAATTATCCCAGTGAGTTTAATGCTTTGTTTATATCTTCCCTTCGGGACCCCAGTATGGTATTTAACACTGTAAAGACCAGGAAGAAATGGATCTTTCAGAGTAAGTCTGTGAAGTCAGATCTTCATTGGTAACCTCCTCTTGACTTCTAAATTTCAGCTGCCTCCAGTGGGGATTTAAAAAAGTTAGCACTCAGCAGTTTCCCATGCTGCTTGGAAGAGCTCTTTTGTGGACTGTTTTTCCTTCTCTCCCTGCCTGGTGGGTCAGTCAGGTGGAGCTCTCTGTGCTTTACTTGTCTCATTCACCATCCTGGGAGAGGGGAAGAGAAGGAGGACGTGCAACAAGAGCAAAGGGGGCCCATCTGCTTCGAATCCTGTGAAAGGTGAATTTAAGGGAACTTAATTGTCAGAGGCGCAGAAGCTTTAGATTTAAAGGCATATAAATCCAAGCAGTCGCTAATCTTAGCATCTAAAAGTACGATTAAGCTAAGTAAATAAAGGCGATTTAAGTGTTGAGCCATCTTTCATCAGGGTTGTTTACCTCCTGAAACCGCTTAACTGCCTTTCCCTCATGGTAACAACAGTGGTTGGTTCATATGACTTTCTTCCCATGATCCTTTGTCACAGGTCCTAGTGCCACCAATCTCATAATAGGCTCCATCGCTGGTGCCATCCTGGTAGCAGCTATTGTCCTTGGGGGCACAGGCTGGGGATTTAAGTAAGCAATGCCGCATGTCTTCTTCTCGGTGGCTCTGGCACTTCTCTTTTCTGCTTACATAACCAAGTTTTGAGTTCCTGCTACAAGATTTTAGCTTCTAACAAATCAAACTGCAAAAGCAAAACCTTTGAATTCAGAAATGGGTTAGAAAGGAGAAACACGAACCCTCAAAACGTCATCTTCAGGCAGGAAGGAAATGTTGAAGGAATTCGCAAACATTCACTGTTGAGGAGAACCAAGTGGAAGTTCGATATTAGGCATTCCAGCTTAGCAGAGCAAACATTCTGAGATGTACTTATTTATCCATGGGACACCGAGGACACCACCTATTGCAAATAAATAAATGTAAATTTATTCCATGTACCTGTCTGAAACTGATTTCTATTCCACTGATACTTTGAAATTTTACTGCCTAAGTAACCAAATGGTCATCACCTGTTTTTCAAATGTAACATATTTTATGTAGCTTTGTGGTTAGAAAAGTTTGATTATATAAAAATAGATTTTAAAAATATTTGCATTAATTTCCCAATCAACTGAATTGGTTTCAAATTAGAATTTGAAGTCTATGGCCTTGTAACACTTAATATTTTCTAATTAATGACTAAATATTGACATGACTGCTAGGCCTGGTGTGTCTTCGTATAGCCTTTCAGGCTGGATTGCACATTGATCACTCAGCCAAGATTGTTTAAATAGATACACCAGATAATTACAAATAAACTTTGATTATGATAAAAAAAATTAAACCTGATTTATCCAGTTTGGATCCTTTAAGCTCCAGAATCTTTGGATAGTCACTTTTTATATCTTTTTTATGCTAAAGTGACTGAATGATTTTGATTTGTAGATAAGCCCTCCTGTGCCACAGACTCCCTGTGACAAATTAAGTTTCAACCAGATCTAGAGAAACAAATTTAAGTGGGAAATAAAACCATTATCTAAACCCCAAACCCACTTTGGCTTCGTCTGGTTACTCAATAGAGAAAGCTTTTGCCCTGAACTATCTTGAATAGATAGTTAATTATGAACTTCATACCCTTAATTATGAACTTCATTCTATCTTATATTTGTAATCTTGAATTCAGTATATTTTAGGCATCTAAAATATTATTGGGAGCTGATTATAGAAGAAAAATGAACTAAAATTATTTTGATAAATTCAGCATTTTTTCCTAATTTGTTATTATATTAACATTTAATGAGGGAGCCTATAGTTTTTGAGTGACTTTAACTTAGAAAAGTGTCATCAAAATGGTACTTCTTTTCTATTTGGATATTTATAAAGTTAGACTTAGTTAGTGGAATAGTTTTAGCATCAGTATGTTTTCAAAAACACACACATAATATGAGCAACTTACATATGAATTTTTTGGTCTTAGCATTGACAAGACAGTGCCCAGGCAGTGAGTTGCTTATGTGGCATCTAATAAAAAAATACAGTTTTGTTTGGGTTAGCTAATTCAAACAAAAACTTTTCTTGGTTTCTCACTACTATAAAAAAAAGTCATTGTACATTGTAGTAATGCCATGCTCTGTTATTATTGCATAATGCTAACTTGGAGTTTTTCATAAATAAGCCTCAAGAGAAATAAATTCGACTCATGCCCAGGCTTATACTTTCACGGCATTAAGAAATCTCCATTTTTGAAGGCCTGGAAAACAGTCTGCTGTGCATCTTTGCCATCCAGCCCCACGTAGTGCCAAATTTACCATACCAGCATTTGGAGACAAGAACACACGATTCTGTAGCAGGACCACAAAACAGTGGCCTGGCCTAGCTCACAGCTTGAATTGCATGTTTCTTTGGGGAACAATGGAAAAGCCTTTATCACTGTGTATATAAGTGGATTAAGCTCTGTTCAGATTATTTATGTCTGAGAGAGATGTCTCATCATCAGAAGAGCAGAAAACCAAAGGTGGGGGATCAATGCTCACTTAGTTGAGAAAGAGCCTTTGCCAACAGCTGCCTCGGGGTTGGTGTGTAGGGACCTGTATGTACTGCTGAGTTGAGTCCAAGCCCCTTTCCACGCCCTGGGACTCTCATAATCACTTTAAGGGAAAAATTTATAGAAGGGCACACAATAGGGTAAAGTATGTTATGTGCTAAAGCAAAGGAAAAATGAAGACTGAGAATAATTCTAGAACATATACCTTTATTGGGGGGTTACATTTGGAGAAACTGCTCCTCTTGTGCCATTGGTTGCAACAAGAGGTTGATAGTTTGCTTTAGATTTTAATGATAGCTACATGATTTGTATTGAGCTTTAAGTAGCTACTTCTACCTTGTAGTAAAATGCGTTAGGTTCTGAGTGATTTTTTTTTTTTAGGTTTTCCACCACTTGGTCAGTTTTGGAGATTGTTAGGTATAGATAATTTGGAAGTATTGTTGGCTAGTTGAACTGGAAAGCCTTTGAGTGTTTATTGAGTGTAATGTCAATTTTTGAAAAGAGATTCTTGTAGAATCAGAAATCAAAAATAATTTGTAAAGAAGATGACTCTAAATATTATTGCCAAGAAACCCTTGCAGGGGTTAAATTATTATTTTGTTACTGAAAGAAAAGTTGGCAAAAGATTGCTTTTTCTTACTGTCACATCTCTTTAGACGTTACTCAGTAGTTTTTAAGACATGGAAGAAGTATCATACCATACATGACCTGCTCAAGTGTAACGGAAAGTACAGCTGTGCCCTGAGCCACGACACGGTGTAGCATTCTTCATAGTTCTTTTCTTAAATCATATTTCCTCTGTAATAGGTGGTAAAAAGCAGGAATGTGTGTGTGTGTGCATGTGTGAATGTATGCACGTTTGTCTGTGTAAAGTGATAATGAAGATGTATTGAAATTATTGTGATCTGCAAATAATACAAATTTAGATTACCTACTTCTTTGTGGTGGAAGAGTTGAGCCAAAGCCCTTTGGTTAATGTAAACAAGACTTCCACAAGCAAGGTTGTGGAATTCTTGAAAATTAAAAAATATGATTTATTTGGTGGAATCTTTTAAAACATATTCTGACATATTGGATAATGCGGTGGGTATGCCTTTAGTAACTTTGCTTAATCCCATATTCCAGAAGTATGAGGATACTAAGGGTTGATTTAGTTTGTGGATTCCCAGGGTTTTAGGATTTTCTCTGAGAAATCCTCTGAAAAATGAACGTAGGCACGTGGCATGCCAGCTTGTCCAACTTCTCCCCATATTTGCATTTGTTTCCATTCACCCCATCCTCCTTTTCCTCCCCATCACATATACACAGAGAATCGAGTTATGAAGTGGGGTGTAGAGGATTACAAACCTCTGTCCTGGTTGACTCATGGACGTCATGACTGTGACCCAGTGCTGCATAATGACACTGCTTAACCAGACTGTTAACAGCTGATGCTTTTACTGGACATTGGAGAAAATCAGATAGATGAGGGATCTTTTTAGCGGCATCTTCCCTAAAGCTTAGGAAAGGTGAAAAGCATATGAGGATAGAGTTTCCTGTCTCCATTTAAAAATGAAGAGGATTGCCCTCTCACCTTGGGTGTGACTATTTATGTGACATTCCCTAAATTTGAATGTAGGAATTTAAATGTGGGCAAGGTGGTCATTTATATCCACATTGGTAGGTGATCATGTTAGGAAAAGAGAAATTCTAGGTGATGATAGGAAAAGAACACACAGGTGCCAGTGTCGATTTGGTAACAGTTCAAACCAAAAGGATTCTGGGATGAATATTGCGCCCTTCCAACCAAATTATAATGTCTTGGTCTACAGAAGCTGGTCACCACGTCCTCTCACTCCGTCCACGAGATTCAGTGGCAAAGTGGCTTTCCCTCATCCCCAGTAGGGGCCATACTGGTCTGGCATAGCTACTCCTGACACTAATGGTGTTAATTTAATAAGTCCGTGTAATTACCACGTGTGGTTTCTTCTCTCCAAGAAAGTACTTGGGTTACTAGTTCATACAGAGCCTGACTTTGGATCTAAGAAGTCCTGTTTGGCCTCTGTACCATTTTGTTGGATGTGCTAAAGAAAAGACTGCTCACGACCTCACATAAATGAACATTAAAGGACTATGTCTAGATTACTACTAGGAAAGTTCACTGCATTGAGAGTCAAATGGGATGAAATTTGAAAGGAATGTAGTATTGCTAATTATATTTTCTCAAAAGAGTAAACGTCTGGGAGTTTTTGGCCTTTGATTTTTATAGAGTTAGGACATGAAACCAATTTTAGCTAGTTTTTCGTGAGGAAGATAACCAGATTACTGCTTGCTTGCATTCCATAACCATGTCCCAAAATAAGAAGCCTGATTCTTTGAATCCCAAGGGCAACTAACAGGGTTAGGCCCTTCTCATTCTGACTTTAGCAGGTGGTGGTGGTGCTAGGCTGGCCAGGGAGATGTAGTGCATTTCTGTGACTTAACCCCCCAGGGACGTGAGCTCAGTTTAAGTGGCCTAGGAGTCTAAGCTGGGTGAGGGGTTCTCAGTGGAAGTGCTGGTGACTCAGCATAGAATGGTAAGACTGTGATAGCAGTAGATAAATATTCTACCCTTGAAAGAAGATCTAAACCAGTGGTTCTCAACCTTCCTAGTGCCATGGCCCTTTAATATAGTTCCTGTGGGTCGCAACCCACAGGTTGAGAACACTGATCTAAAGGCTTCACAGATGACGAGAAGGATATTGTTACCTGAAGAGTTTTGTTTTAATTTTGTATAGATGTATAGGGGTGTGATATATAATATAGATGAAAAAGAAAGTTTAGATTTTTTAGAAGTAGTAAAAATGGATGAAAACTGTGTCAATGTAAGGTGTTTGATAATGATCCAGACAAACCTTACAGGTTATGATGAGAAAGTTAATTGCCTTCAGAATCCTGATGGACAGAGGGTATTCAGAGAAAACGACTGCGGAAGGAAAACAGCAAAGACCTACTCGTGATAGTTGCACCTTCACATTAAAGCTGAACAAAAAGACTTCTTTTCAGACAGAGAGTACAGGGCACGCCCTGCTGACCATACAGTGGCCTTTAGTGGTTTTACAGTTTATATGTGAGGAGCCCTCGCAGCCTGCCTGCTGCAGGGGTGTCCATCTCATCACCAAGCACCCCTTCTGGGTACCGAAGCTCACCCATCCCCTGCCAGGACATCAGTGGACAAGCCAAGGTCCTGGAATTCCCCGTTGGTACACACAGTCTGTTCCTCTAGAAAGATGATTGTGCAGGGTGGTTTGACCTCATGGTCTGACCTTAGAACCCAGTAATCCTGTAGAACATTGTTCATATGAAGGTGCAACCTGAGCTTCAAACACCAACTTTTAAAAAGACACAAGCTTTTGGACACCAGCAGTTGCCTGTGTGCCAGGATGAAATGAAATTTTATATGTCTATTTAAAAACAAACCTCATTGCTGTTTTGACCTTGGAAATGGCTATGTATTTGACAGTTCCTGCATCTGAAGAAATTTAGATGTGGCAGTATGGACATTTGCATGCACAGAGCTAGCTTGGTTTGTTCTTAGTCTGGCATTTCTCTTGAGTTCCAGCAATACGCAGCTGATGAGGTTGGGCCTCTAGTGCTTTGGGGCCATTTCATAAGGTCAGGGATCTCTGTTTCTCACCCATGACCCACACAAGCAAATAGGGCCCCTCAGCCTCCCCCTTCAGGGGTGCGAGTGTGGTGCACATCCTGCTGCCTGGCACGCTAAACTTGGTAGGAGATTCATTACGGGAGACTTCCCTTTGGCCTCCCCTCTATTTCCTGGGCAGCATCAGCAGTGTCTGCTTTCATTGCCTCTAAAGAGGGTGAGGTGGGAGTGGTGAAGAAAAGGACCCCTTGTAACACATACAAAGACGACTATAGCTCTGCGCAAATAGTGTTTGGTGCAAGGGATTACCTGCTGGGCCACTGAGCCACACGCATAGGACAGTCAGGAGACACTTTCATGAAAACTCAAAGAAAAGAAAAGGGAAGTTTACCTTAAAGACTTTTGCAGTTGATATTACACAAGAGAAACATCTAAGGGGTGATCTGGGGAAAATTCAGAAGCTTACAGGATGTCTTTATGTACCTATTTCGAACTTTGGTATTGTCTTTATTTTGAATTCCTTATGCGGGAGGAGGACTTGACTGTAAATTTTTTGGTACTTTGGGCCTGTAAGGGTACCCAGCTCGCCCAGAGTGAATGGGCAGGGGAAGGAGGGATCTGGGGACGCCTTGGTCTCCAGTTTTGCATGACGCCCCGGTGGCAGCAGCGTTGCACCCGCCCCGTATGCAGAACTAAATGCATGAGCCCCCTGCTTGGTGCCCCACATAAAGCCAGACTATGGGGAGGTTGCAACCAACTTTTGTTGTTGCCTTGTAGTGTCTTGCTGGTTCTTTCTTTTCTCTTTTCAAACCTAGGAACCACTGTTTGGGAGACTGGACACTGTGAGCAAGGCATTTTAACTTGCTTATTTTCAACTAAGCTAAATGCTGCATTTGCTTAACTAACCCACGCCTGTGTCCACTCTCCTTCGACTGTGCCGTCTGACTGTGCACTCTGTCTTACAATAGATATGAAATGTGCTTGTTCCATAGTGGAGTAAGCACTCACACACCTAAGGCAGCAAACTACATGAGGAGAGCAGGGCTTTTTGCCACTATGGCAAAGGCCGATCCATGGGAACCAGAACTCGAAAACCCTTCAGTTTTCCTTAGTTCTCCAAGAGCCCCCTTTGCAGAAGAAGCCTTCCTATAAAAATTTTAATTTGGTGCATTAGCAAGTAATTTACTTCTGATATAAGAGAAAAATTGGGCTGTGGAGCCTTCCTGTGATTTAAAATGAGCAGCTTGAACCTTCTTCGATCTTCACAAAATGATGAAGGACCTGCTCTAGGGGGTGTCGTGGAGACAATCAGAAGCGTCAGCTGCTCTGTTTCACGTCCAAGTTATTCTCGAGGCTGCCTCTGTGTGAGTTGATTACTTCTCTCTAGAACCGGCATCACTGTCATTTGCATCCCCTTTCTCCCGTCATCATCTGATTAATATTGTGGATTTCCTCCCCCTCCCCTTGCATCTTCTTTTGACGCACTCTGGAAGAAATGTCAAGAAGAGGAGGTTCGACCCCACTCAGCAAGGCCCCATCTGAACCAGCCTCCCTGGACGAGCACCCCCTAGCGTGGCGGGACGCTGGGTCTCACGTACTTGCAGCGGTGCTGCCGGAACTGCTAAGTCTGTAAACAAGGACCTGGGGTGGTAGCGACTCCAGAGCTAAAGTTGGGGGGACAGGGATGGTGTAAAAGAAAGCTGTCCCCTGTGGAAATAATTTCAAAGAACCCCTCCCACCACCTGTCAATAAAGGGGAGCAAAAGACCATGTTATAAAAAGAACTGTTTCAGAATCTTTTTTTCTAACTAAAGAAAAAAGGAACAATACCAACAAAAAAGTGCAATAAAAGAACCATTAAAAAATAGCAAATGATTTCTTTCCCCTCAGCCTGCTGGCACTTAATATCTCCTAAATGATTTGGCATGATTTGTTTTCCTTTACTACCCATGACAAAACTCCAGTGGCATGAAGATCTAATTCTCGAAAGGGTAAAAACTGCATGGCATATATACAACAACAAGCTAGCAAGCCAATCTCAGCAACACCTGCAACGGAATTCCTAAGGTGAAGATGACAGACGAACACGCAGAAGCTGCCTGGGTCTCTTCACCTAAATGCCTCCCTACCCGCCCCGACTCCGTAAGGCCCCTCACCCCTCACCCCCACTCCCCGCTCCAGACCAGGCCATGGCAGAACCCCATGGACCACGCTCTTGTTGATCGACTCTCTTCAGTTGTTATTTCCCCAGGAGTGAGCATCCTTTGAAATGGGAGCTGGAATTTGAACACTGATGCTATTGTATAGTTCTTTTATAAATGTAAATATGGAAATAAGAGATGTCGACACTTCATTTTCACTCATCTGTATTGAGATATTTTTCCTGTAAAGGTTCTTTGTAGATCTGTTTTAACGTTCGCTTCTCATCTGTTTTGTTTCTTTTCTCTTTGTCTCTGTCCCTCTTTCTTGTTACATGGACAAAGATGACCAGGCTTGCTTAAAAGACGGATGAAGCCACAGATGCGGGAGTTTGGGCACAGAATAGGTGCAGTTTAAAGTTGGTATGTTTGTAACCAAAACCAGACCAAGGGGGGAGGAAAACAAAACAAACAACCCATATCAAAACACGAAAGTTATGTAAATGCAAATATGTGTACTCACCAGTCTCCAAAATGTTTCGTTGTCATGATAAACGTATGTATATGATGTAAGAAAGTAGAAACCCTCTCAAAGTAATCACAAAAGTGCCAAGCTCATGATTTTATTTTTTTTGGGTTTTTCAGCTTTCTTTCCCTGTCTTTAATGTGAAAGGAGGATAAACTTAAAGCCTTAAATAAAAAAATAATTATAATTTTTAAGTGTTGAAAGCTTGGGAAAAATTAAGCTTTCCATTTTATTTGTATCTGTTAGTGTCAATATTTCATTCATGCTTCATCTTCCTGCCTCAAAATATATATGGTAGAACCCCATTGCAAACGTGGTTATGGGGCAGAAGCAGCAGCCACCTGTTCAAAGCGTTGTCATAATAGGCTTTCATTCTGTGTATTGTGTTTGCAAAAACATCCAATCTCGGAACGCTGGGTTGTGCTGGATTATAATGGGATTCTACTATGTACAGAGTCACCGTCTTCTTTTTCCTGCAGGCAGAGTTTGCAGATGTAATCTGAGGTTCTGAAGTCCCTCTGAGCTTCCTTCACTTTCACCGATTTCATTTTTCTATTTACGGTCAAGATAGCTTCTGTCCGAGTGTTAATATAATTGAGGTAATAAAGAAATGTGGCTGCAGCCTTGTTTTGAATGCACAGACTCATACATAGTCACTTTGGTGAGCATCCTTCTAGAGATGAGCTTCAGTAAAGGCCCCCCAAAAGTCCCCACTTAACTGATGTCCTCTCTGTAGGAACAGGACACTTACTTCTTCATGACATGAAATCCATGGCTAGATTTAGCTCTAAGTCCCCTTTGCAGCAAGATTCATGACATAAGTTTGAGAACTTTTTCTTTGACTTTGGAAAGGATTATTTCCTAAAGATGCACTGCTTAAAACAGTATCTTTGGTTGTGTGAGGATCACAGTCACAAAACAGAAACCTTAATTGCTATATGCTACAATAGACTGTCACCTCACATCTCACTGCTGTTGTTGCTTTTTGAGTAATAGGTGCTACACAGGTAGGGGGACTTAACTCTAGGACTTGCTGTATGTTTGTATTGTGATAACAGGGCTATCCACACGGTCTCTCCGCCTTAGCCCTGGCTTCATAAGACACAGGTTACATCCCTCTGCTTAGTGACAGTGGCTCTTTCAGCCCGGAGGAAGCTTGAAGAAAACTCAGATTACTTGACGTCTCTTCCTGTTGCTGCATTGCTGAGTGTCTCCTGTCCCAGTCTGGAAGCTGAGCTGCTGCTCAGTACCGTATACCTTTCACCACTCTTCCAGAGGCGCTGTGATGACTTAACAGCAACAAAACCATGGTGGCTAGAAAACATGTTAAATCTCTATTGTTAACCTTTGAGCATTTCACAGACAACATTGTCAATGTGCGATGTTACGTTTCAAATCAGACCACAGTGGTCCCCGGATATTATGTACATATGGCAAATGTCCGTGTAACTTTTTGTTACACTGGCAGTTTCATAGGTAATTGAACCTATGCTCCAATGTTAAATTATTTGTGTGTATATGTAAAATACACAAGCTTTAAACTATGTGTGGATGAATTTGAGAGAGAATGCAACCCTATCAGTGACAAACAATGGATTATAATTATTTTTGGTGGTATAGGTTATGTAGTTTCAAACTCTTTGCTCTATTTTTCCCTTGTACCTGCCGTTCATTTGCCTGTTTTTATGGTATGGGTATTCCTTGTTATTAATTTGAGCTCAAAGCACAAGTATATCACCATTTAAGGTTACCCAACAAGTGTTAGTGTGAAGTGATGACCAAGTTCCCATTTCACCTGCTATACTTTTGCTGCATTAGTTAACGACACCTGGATGAGGAGACATGCGCTACCTTCATTGCTCACCTGATAGTGCATGAGCCCATTGAATTAGAGCTATGCCTTCTAGAGAACTGAATAGTACACGTAGGTGCATGTGACCAAACACAAATCACACCAAGCTGTGGGATTTTACCCACTGGTGTATTTTGTTTTTATTTTTTACTATGCAAAGATGAGAAATGCACAAACTTTTCAAAGACTAGTGTCTAAAGAACTTTATGGACAATACTTGAACTCTTTCTTTAAAGTCATCCCATCATGTTTTATAGTCCTTGTTGCTTCCATAGTTGATTTTAATTTGTAAGTGCTTTGTAATTCTTTTAGTGCACAACCTAAAGTTTCGTTTGAAGTTAATAAATTCATTCATATCTTGTTGGCTGCCTATGAATGGAGATTCAGTAGTCATTGTATGCATCTTTTAGTCAAGTGTGTATTAAAACTTTTTTTAACGTAGAATGCTGTAGCTCTATGTTTTGATCATTTCTCTTAAATCCTTGTTCTGTTTCCTTTTGTATTGTTGTTGATTAAATGGCCATGCACCTGATACCATCAGCGTTTTTTAGTACTGGTCTCGATCAAAGGCTCACTGAAAATTTAAGCAGTCATTAGTGTAAAATAAAATCTCTCATTAATGATACAGACACTTTTGGTTAGGATTCAGTTTTACGGATTCATTGGAAATTCTTAGCTTTTTATAAATCAGGAGGGAAAAATATCTTAGGATCATACCACTATCAATTGTCTCTTTATATCTGTGTCCCAAGTTTAAAGAGTGGATGGCTAGGAATGACTCCACACTTTTGATCTCGTACCAAATTTATAATCAAGCAACAAAGAAAGGAGAAGAAAATCTGGTCCTTGATATAAATTGTATTATCAAAAACATTCTAAGGAAGGTATTTCCTTACAGCTCCCGTGTAGTGGGCCTCCACATCATAGTCCTTCTTCATGAATGTCTTTAGGATGTCTCCTCTCCATCCCTACCGTCATGCCTTGGATTGGCCTTGACAGCCACATGGATGTACTGCACTGATGTGTGCGGCTGCTAATCTGGCCACACCATTCCCCTGATGAAAGTCTGGCAGGTCTTTTCATTTCCTGTAGGATAAAGCCCAAACTTAGTAGTGACGCAGTTCTGCCTGCCTTCCTGACCTCACACCTATTTGCCTTTCTGGCCTCATTGGCTCTCGTAGTCATCCTAGTTTACTTAAAAATGCCTCTCTACCCAAGGCTGAATAATTTAAATTTTATGTCCATTATCCATAATTCATTTGTTCCAGTGTCATTTCATGTACTAAAAGGTACATTAGGAACACTTAAAAATACCATGAACATTATCCTTAAGAAAACTTACTAGAGTGACATTTGTATTTGGCTTTAAAGGAATGGTCTGAGTTTTTTATGTTTTCCTTTAAGTCATTCCGCTTTTGAGGTTGACATAGAAATGAGTTCTGCTCCATGAGAAAGGGGACCCAGAAACCCCCTAGACAATAGAAGAGCAACCCCACAGTTAAAGTTCGATGTAAATAATGAAGTAAATAATCTATATGCTCATGCTAGAATTCCTAAATAACTTTTAAAAGTTAAGGTAGGGGCCCTTTAGGTTAAGGTTCAAGGATTAGAGATGTCCAATCGTTAATTTATTCATTTAACAAATACCTTTAATGCCTCTGTGGCATGCCTACACCTCCCAGGAACTGAAGGAACAAAAGAAAACTCTTGGCCTCAACTTGCTCACAATTTATCAGGAAGAGACGTGTGTTTAAAACAAAAACATCTCTGATCCCAAAGTGGTAAGTAAGCTAAGTCAGTCTTGTGCTGGGAGTGAAAAGAACTGTTGGGAAGGTGGGAGAGGGATGCAGAAAGGTCTCCTGACAGAGTGAGTTCTGAACTACACTGAAAGATGACATTTCACCAGTCTAATGAAATGGGGAACATACGCCAGGCACAGGACGTGCGTGCCAAGACCCAGGAGGAGGAGCCAGGCCCCTGGGGTAAGTAGGATTCATTTAGCTCCCCCCTCCTTTCTTCTTTCCCTTCTACCTTTCACAAACTCTTGATCTGCAAGAATCCCACAGTACTGGGTTAGGCCCTCAGAACCACAATGACGAGCTCTCAATCTTGTAAGCAAGATGAAACATTTAAATACAAAGTAATAAATCCCATAATAGACATAAGTATTAGATGCTTCAGAAGAAGAGGGGCACAAGATTTTATCCTTCATCCTAAGGTCAAGGAGGCTTTCACAGAGGTAGTGGCATTTAAGCAAAAAGCTGCTCCCATATAATTAGGCCTAAAATCATGATTCCTTAGGTTACCCAGGATTGCTCATTTTTTGTGGTGATGGTGGGAAGTTCATTCATAAATGCCTTGAAAGTAAAACAACCAGTAATGCAAGGATCTAATTATCTACTCCTGATCTCTGGGGTTATGGTGTCTGTTAAAACCTTAAAATTTTATATATTTCCCACTGATGTGCTCATCACGAAGCAGCCTCAAATGCCCGGGGCTGTCAGTAATGACTAAGAGGGCTTCTTGACCTGGCCTGTGAATGGCTAATATTTCCTTAGCATAAGGATTCCTGGCTAATCTCAGTCTGGATTGAGGGGGTGGATAAGAAAAGCCATAAAAGCTTTCAAAGCATCATTTAGTAAGTCCATTAGTTAGGGGTCAAAATCATTTTCCAAGTGCAGACACACTTCCGGTCAACCAAAGTTAGTGCTTGTCTGTTTTGCCTTGGAGAGAAGGTTACCAGTTTCCCCAGTCCTTTCAGAAACCTACCATCAGGTCTGCCCTTCCAACTAGAATATATTCTCAGCCACGTGTGTGACTTCTGGAGAGAAGTGAATTTCCATGACCCTTCATCACATGAAAGGCAGACTTCCTGTGGGATCGGTGGGTACTCCTTTGCCAGCTGACTCTGTGTGTGCACACAGTTCCTCTGGTGTGGCTGTAAAGACGGTACTTGTGACCCCACAGAGTCCACCCTTAGGAGAACATTTATCTGACTGTGATGATCGCCAAAAGCCAGATTGGGCCAATAAATCAATTGGTCCTACAAAAACAAGGCAAAACAAAACAAAACAAAAATATCTTTCTGAATGATCCAGAGTATATGGAGAGTTCTTCAGATCTCTTTAAATAGCCTCCAGCCTCCAGGAGGTAAATGAGCTTGCAGAAGAGCTCCTTCAGGCCCAGGGCTCCGGGGCAGGACAGAAAAAGGTAACTTGGGCTGTAGATGACATCAGGAGGGCCTCTGCTTTGCAACAACAGACACAGCGTGGTATAGCCATTGTAACCCCGTGAGATAGCAGACGGACTGACTGCAGTACCCTGAAACTGCATTTTCTACACAGGTTAAATGGCTGCAAAGCAAAGATCTCACACCCTAAGGTCTACAGGCCCCAGTCAGTTATCAAAATGAGTGCAACAAGGTAGTGTGGGAGATAGGAGGGGAGAGAGAGGCTAAGCGGAGCCGGACAGTGCACACCCCGCCCTGGAGGGAGCAACACCTCCTTCCAGCCATGTGTCACCAGATGGAAAAGGGAGCCTGTCATTGCCCATTCTATTATATTTTTCTAGAGAAGCCAGAAATCCAGATTTTTTTTTTTTTTTAGGTGAGACAGAGTCTCTCTGATGTTCAGGCTAGAGTGTGGTGGCATGATCATAGCTCACTGCAGCCTCAAACTTTGGGACTCAAGTGATCCTCCTTCCTCAGTCTTCTGAGTAGCTGAGACTGCAGGCACATGCCACTGGGTCTCGCTAATATTTTTTTGTTGTTGTTTATTTTTGAGACAGGGTCTCTTGTACCCAGGGATAGAGTACAATGATGTTATTGTAACTCCCTGCAACCTCAAACTCCTGAGCTTAAGTGATCCTCCTGCCTCTGCTTCCCAAACTAGCTGGTGCAAGTCACCATACACAGCTACCAGAAATATGTATTTTAATATAAAATTTCCCTTTTTATAAATGGTGAAGCCTGTTTATATTTTTAAGACACTGTGTATCAAGATGGTGAAAACAGACTCTATCTTTACATAGGACTGAGTCTTTTGGCACCTAGTGTGTAACTTCTGCGTAAAATAGTAGAACCGTTTTATATCAAGCCCCCTGAAATTGTCCAGTAGCACTAATAAGTATGAAGATGTGGCCTTGATTCAAGCCTGGGTTACAGACTGCCCTGTGAAGAGTGGCAGGCGGTCTCCTGAGTGTCACCCCACCCCCAGCCCCTGCTATTCATTTACTGCTGTTCTGTGTGGATAATAAGCCGCCTCTGAAAGCCACAGAATATCAAAGAGAGAATTCATTTTGATGGTGCTTTGTATGTTAAGTTTATTCACATGTGCTCCTTTGTGGAAGATGAACCAAACCTGCAACTGCAATTCGGGGCCCATTCCTCACTGCCCAGCGAGCTGTCCCACGGCTCACTAAGGCAGCCTAGTGGCCGCCTGGATACTGAACCACACCCGCCATGGGTTAGAGAAAGTGTGGTGGTTGATTAAGGATGTCTGCTACCTGGCAACCAGAAGTGCCTCACTAGAGCCGCAGACATCTTAAAAGGGTCTTATTGTCTCAAGGCTAATTGGATGTAGGGATGAATCAGCCAATCTGGCTAATCCACAGGCCCCACGTACTAATCTTCATCTAGGCAAATAAGGAAAAGATTCTGTAGTAAAGAAATGCAGAGGTTGAAAAATTCAGCAGGCAGGAACCACTTTATTTTTTAAAATTATTGTTCTTCACTTCTGATAATTATGAAGACCTATGTGTTGCAGGATATTTAGAAAAAGAAAAATTTAAAGAATAAAATTTAAATCACTATAGTTTAATCATCAGGATATAATCTCCATTAATATTTTGTTAATTTCTTGACTCACTATTTCCTTACACTTTCCCACAATCACAGAAGCAGCCTGCACAGGCCAGCAGCAGCCAGTGGTTCCCTCAGAAGGTCTGTGTTCACCCTCCACTGCTGATCTGTATGTGTGTGGCTGGGTATGTGTGTCCGTGTGTCCATCCCATGTGCTGTGTTCTGTGTTCTACTGGCTCCTTTAAGGACAGGATGGTATCTTTAGGGCAAAGAAGTATTTACTGGCTACACACAAGCTCACAGCTGTAATCCTAGCACTCTGGGAGGCTGCGGTGGGCCAATTGCTTGAGCACAGAGTTTGACACTAGCCTGGGTAAGAGTGAGACCCCTGTCTGTACTAAAAATAGAAAAACTATTCTGGTGTAGTGGTCCATACTGTAGTCCCAGCTACTAGAGAGACTGAGGCAAGAGGATTTGCTCAAGCCCAAGAATTTGAGTTTGCTGTGAGCTATGACTACCCTGCACTCTACCCAGGGCAACAGAGTGAGACTCTATCTCAAAAAAAAAGTACTTTCTAAACCTTTCGTCCTTGGCTCAACCTATTTCCTGTGCTAGGAAGACTTCCTCCCTCTTCCCTAATCCCCCA